CCCCTGCAGCGGCGCGTCAGACCACGCCCCGCCACACACATTAACCAGGTAAAATACATATTTAGGCAGAACTTTGCAAATATCTATTTTTCTGTTTTTAGCAGCATAGGGCTTTTTTTCCAATTACTTTTTTAAAAGCCAGGCCAAGGCTCCAAAAGCCCAAAGGCGATATAAGGGTGGCGGCTCACAACAGTTTTTGTTTGCTACATGGATCATTTTAGTTCAGCTGGGTGTCTTTCCTTTTATTATATTTCTTTAAGAGTTCAAAATGTGTTAATTACATAAATAAAATTTTATTTTCTCTGTAGCTCTTCATGGATTTCATAAGAAACACACCTTAGTTGTTCACACAAAGCATAAAAGTAAAAAACAATATATACAGTGATATCTTCATTTTAGATGTCAAAAAGAATTTGCGGCTCCCAGTGTTTTCTTTTGCATGGAAACCGGGTCCAAATGGCTCTTTGGGTGTTAAAGGTTGCAGACCTCTGCACTAACCAAAGTTTAGCATAGTTTTGCAGCCATTGAGAAAATAACTCATTAGTTATGTAGTCAAGTTTTTTTTTTTCAAAATAAATTACAAAACTCTTAATTTTATATAAAATCTGCTAAAAATGTGCTGTTTCGTGTCTTTTTTTAAGCCTTATTTTAACAGTGGGAGGCGTGTCTGTGTCTTGAATCCAAACTGGGAGCTAAGATAAGATGGGGCCTGATTATTCATGACTTTGTATATGAAGAGAAGGATTTTAAATTCAAGAATTTAAATTCTAGAATTAGCAGGGGGCCAAGAAGCTATGTTCTCTTTTTGTAGTTCTTATTAGACCGCTCTCTGCAGCATTTTAAATCAACTAAAGGCATTTCTGGTAGTTTTTATGCCAACCTGATAATAATGAATTACAGTAGCTCAAGTAATAGATGTAGTAATAAATGGATGGACTTTCAGCATCACTCTGAGATAGGATTTTTCTAATTTTGACAATATCATGCAGATGAAAGAATGTGTGCTGTTAAAGGACATATGCTAGTCAAAACTGACTCCAAGATTACTCGCAGGGTTACTGGAGGCCAAGATGATGCCTTCAAGAGTAAAAGTAAGTCAATGTCATTTGTAAAACGTGAATACTTTTTTGGACAGTGGGATATTTTTTTTCTGAGAGATTTGAAGTTTAGACAGTAGGGATATTACTGAAAACTGAAGCGTGTGTACAAATTGAAGAACTTTGTAAAATATGTGCAAATGATATTTAAGATAATATAATAATCTTTACATTTTTGAGATTTAGGACATCTTGTTTTCGAGGAGATGTTTGAAGAAAACTTCAACTTGTTTGAAGGTTTTAAAATAAAGTTTGTGGTTTGTCCTTTGTCCATGATGGTTGAGATCATTAGCCGTCACACCTCTTCTGCTTTACTGCAACAGAAGTCTCTTCAAAAAGCAAGCCAGCACTGCTTGTCATTCTCTAAAGCTGGGCTGGTTTGGAAGACTGAAATATTTTAGGGGGATTTGGCACCAACCTCCTTCAATCCAATCAACTATGACTAATGTTAACACAGGTGTAAGAAGGATTTACCTGCTCAGCCACGTTCCATCCGTCATTTAGAAACTCAACATGTTGCTGTGATATTTTATCCACCAACTGAAGACACAGCACGGGAACATCAACAGTGGAGCTGCATGCCTATTTCCAAGCTTTTAGCCTCTCTGTTTGAGCCACTCATACAATTTTTTTTGTTGTTGTTCTCTGTGAGCATTATATCTGATTTGTGCAGTGAAGTTTTGACTTTTTTTTTGTAACTCAAATTAGGTTCCTCTTTTTGGTTGTTTCCTGATAGAGGGCTTGAAGAAGCATGACCGATTGACTTGAATGTGCAGCCATCGTGTCGCCTTAGTGCATGCGAGTCTGCACAGGCAAATCAGCACGAATAAACTGAGACCTGAAGCAGTGGCTCACTGCTACATGAGCTTCAGAGAACTTAAGCTAAATTGCAAACACAAGAATGTCAAGCTGATCACAAATTCTGCTTGTGATTGCTTAAAAAAGGGGGAAAAAATGCTGCTTTGTTTCAGGCTGGAATACATGCAGACTGAACTGACCGTACGCTTCAGTCTGCACTCTGATATATGAGACCAGATGTCTTAATGTGCCCTTGTTTTCCGCAGGAAAATACTACACTACATTCAGATTTTTAAACTTCCACAGTGCTCAGTCTTCTCCTTCTGTTGTTACCACAGACAGGTTTCAACTACCATCCATTCATTCATGAAGGTCCCGCGAAGATGCCATTTTCTAGACTTCAAGGACTAATAAGAAATAGTTTTCAGTGGAGATTTCAAGAGGAATTAAAATTCAAGAAAAAAATGGGACTTTACCCAAGAAAGTACTATTTTAACATATGAAAATGAAGTAAGCCACAATACACATTATTGTGGTTCTGTTCAAAGTTAGTTCTTTAGTAATGCCAATGGTATTTTCTTTGAGATTCTCGTACCAGAACAGAACCACAGACTTCTGGTTTCACTTCAATTTCAGTTGTCACAACGCAGGACAACTTCATACCGCACCGAACTCTGTTCTTGAACACAGATGGGAGCATTTTTTTGGGTTTTTTGGGCTCACATATTAAATTGATTTCCTTCATTCTGCATGTCATTTCACTTCACATCATTTCACTTGCTTCCTCTCGCCCTCCAGTCTGTGATCAAAGGCTTGAGAAAGTTTTCATTTTGCTTTTATGAATGATAATAAAATGAACACAAGCACACAAGTTCTCATTTTTGCAAACTTCAGAGGGATTTCCTGCATGAGGCAAACACGCACGTGGCTGATTTAATCTCTAACAGAGGGGAAAATGTGTGTGAAGAACTAGATTGTTTGTCACTTGAAATCTTTGAACCACTGATAAATTACACTGCTACGGGCCGCTGCCATTACTGCAGACAGGAAACAGCAAACGACATGCAGACTAAGGGTTTTCAAGCCAGTTATTGGCACAGTTTGATCTGATAAACAGGACACACAGGAAATGAACGGGGGGGGGGGGGGGGGGGGGGGGGGGGGGAAGTAAATTGTCAAAACAGAGTTTTGTTATGTGAATGTTAAAGATCCGCGAACGATAGTTGATTTTCATGTGTGACGGTGTGTTATATCATGTTGGATAAAATATGACTGTACACAGTAAAGATTGTACAGCAGCAAGTTTACATTTAGACCTTTTTTTGGAAGCTTACCAACTTACAAGTCTTCTGATTGTGATAGGACTTGTTGAGTTTAATCAAACTGAAGACAGTAAATGTAACAAAGATCTTTGTTGCATTTGGTTAAGAGTCAACACTTTAAAATGCTGCAACTTGAAAAATAATTTCAATATTGTGTAAGAATATTATGTTAGGCACTGTAATACATGTTCAGTGGAACATCTGTAGTGCATGTATTCCAAAGAGACACGCTGACTAACCTGCAGTTTATATAATGGAATTTTTAGCTAATGTTAGTGTTTGCTCATTTCCAAACCTCTTGACTGGAAATACCAAACCAGGAGACCAACAGGCTTATTTTCTTGTTTTGTAATACGGACATGATAAATGAGTCCATACCATTTTTACCAAAATATTAATACATTACTAGTTATAGTATGGCTTTGGTTGACTTGTAGGAATCACGAGAAAACAGTATAGTAATATTAGTAGTTTCAGTAAATGCCTCAAAATCTCATTTTGACGTTCAGGTGACAGCGCCCTCTAGTGGATGTGAACATTATGAGATTGATTGTTTATTTTCTTAACCAATTGTCAGGGCAAGGGGCTGGAGCCTATTCCAGCTAACACTGGAGTGCAGTGTAAGGTTGTTATAATCCTGAATTACCTGTTAACTTAAAACCTATGTCTTTGGACTTTCATAGGAAAAACATGCATACTCCACACAGAAAACTCAAGCTAGCAAGCCTGTTTGAGCCAGGAATCCTGTTGCTGTGTGGCAACAGTGTTAACCACTGCACTGCCAAGCAGTTTGGCAATGACATTAACAAATTACTACATTTAGTGACACTACAGCAACGTCACAATAGGAGGGATGTTGGGGTTAATGAATGGCTGTTAACACAGGAATTTACTCTTCCTTTTCAAATTGATAATCACTTGTGGTTTTTAGCTATGACCTTTTTATAACCTTACCACATGCTATTACTGTAAAGATGACTGTAATGGTTGCATGAAATTAAAGTTCTCATTTCAAGCCAAACCATAATCTTTCCTAATCACATTCAACTTGTTGTTAGTTGTTGCTTTTTTCTGCTTAACACAAATCCAAACCAATAGAATTACCATATGAATCAAAGGATTAATTATGTTTCAACAGTGATTATTGACAGTTTAAACCAGAGGCTTATGTATCTCATGCTGCAGTATGTTCATAAAGGTCACAACAGATTGGAGGATTTCTTTTGTCTTATAGTGGGAATAAAATTATGTTCTGATAACGATGTGGGGTTACTCCTCAGTTATTGTGCAACTTGATGTAGCAAATGGTTAAGTTAACTTGAGATCTTTTTAATACTTTTTGACGTGTTTCATTTATGAGAAACAAAGCAAACCAACAAATAAAAGTTATTTTAGTTCATTTGGAGAAAAGACTATCCCTTTTTTATAATGGCCTGCTGAACCTGCATCAGCGTGTGTTGTGTAAATCTGGTAGAGATTATCGGGGTCCTCAGTTTTGATTGAAAATCGTCTCAAATTTGCCATGGCCGTGATGAGAAAGGTTTAACGTTACCCACAAACCCCACCTCCCTGTTGGTCCCTTTCTCTCTGCTCTCTTTCCCCATCCGCTGACTCAGCCTGTCAGTGGGTGGGTCTTTCATCCTGTCACTCAGTGCTGCTCCTGCTTCGTGATTAGTTTCTCTCTTCCACGCTGGTAGGCGGTGCCATCAGATCCACATGGAGGCAGTTGGGTATCTCTGTGCCCGTTAGTCTATTCCATCCTCCAGTGGCGACGCTCCAGACACGCTGGACCAACTTGGAAATACTGCAGCTGGACTAAGAAAAATATGCTCTGAAGACTTGCTTATTTTAATAATACTTTTATTGCTTAATCCATATTTTTTCAATAGCAGTGGGGAAGAAGACCTATCTTATTTGCGCGTAAAAGTCTCTTGTCATTTCATTCTTAATTAACTGGAGAGGAGAGCGCTGAACGATAGTGTTACTGATGTTTTCCTTGCATTTTAGATGGACTTTGAGCTCTTCTTAGCAATCACATTTACCTGTGACAATTTAACTGATTTACAAGTTAAACTGGCATAATTTATGGGAATATTTAGATTATTGGATTTTTTTTCCTTGGGGAACTTTGCGCTTTCCTGGAGATAACTATTCTTTTTTATGCGTAAAATCTTTTTGTTTGGGTCATTTTAAGAAACAGAGACCCGTTAGCGAACACTTTGCTATCTTGTGCAAGTGAAACGGGTTTGATGGAAACATGACCAAAGCCGTAACTGGGCCGGTTATCCTGCACACCCTATGCCTGCTCCCGCTCCTGCTGCTTCACGTCTCACCGGTGTGTCTGTCTGCGCAGCACGGACATCCAGCGCGCTACTTCGGCCAGATAGCGGAGAACTCTCCAGCTGGGACGCCAGTGGAAGGGGTGGTAATTTCTGTCACAGCTGCAAACTGCCCCGGTGCGAACCTCACTGCCAGTTTGAAGGGAGATTACGCGTCAGATTTCAGACTTGTTCACTACCGCGGGCATCGGGTCCATCGAGCGCAATTATGTTTGGTCTCCGCAAAAGCACTGGACCGGGAGTTTATAGCTATGTACGAACTGATGGTGGAGCTGCCAACTCGGTGTATGAGGAGACGAGCCATCGTCCAGATTGAGGTGTCCGACAAGAACGACAACATCCCTCTGTTTACCAGCGGGAACAAGACGATTGAAGTAGATGAATTAACGCCGCCCGGAACCGAGCTGGCTCGCTTTGACGCAAAGGACGGTGACGCGGAGAGCAATGGACATGTCACTTTTTACGCATCACCGGACTTGTACCTGCTCCACGTGGATCCACAAAACGGACAAGTGAGCCTAGCAGGATCTCTCGCTGGATTCAGCCAGGTGACTTTGCGCATTTACGTGAAGGACGGAGGAGATTTAGCACTGATAGGTGAGCCGGTGTTCTTGCGCATCAACGTCCGCCGGTCCAACAGAGCGCGACGGATGCCGCGGGCTCTGTCCGAGGAGCTGACCTACACAGTTACCGTTCCGGACCACGTCAGAGTTGGCGACCTAGTGTTCACAGTTCCTGACCAGAGGTTCGATCAACGGTGGTTTGAAGTGATATCCGAAGCCGACTCACCAGTCCAGATCGAGCGGGATTCGGGGCGTTTGTACCTGGCGCGCAGTCTGCGAGAGCCCGCCGAGGTGGTAGTGAAGATTCAGAGCCTCCGAGGTAAGAAAATTCTGGTTTTCTTTTCGTGCGTAAAAGCGCAAAGAAAGCCAGACTTACCTGAAGATTGTCATGCTGGCTTAGGAGGCTGGTGTCTACCTTTGGATGTTGAAGTAGACGTGGTACTCAAAATGTATTTTATTGAGTCTTAGCCACATATCTCTTTTTTAAAATTTAAAAGTAGGGCCAGGAGTCAGCAAGGTAAAACCAAAGTTAGTAATCGTAATGTGGAGGAACATTACCTTTTCAGTACCTTTTCTAACAGTTTCAGCAATAATTTCTCCCTAAAATTATTGCTGAATCTTCCTTTCAGAATTGAGTGGTGCTCATTCATTTAGAGAAGTTTGCGCGCGTGCTTTTGTATGTTTTGGCTTTTTTCCATCTGAGTTTAAATCGACCTCAACGGTCACTTTCCACTCTTTCATTCATTCCTTACAACACTCCACACGGCACTGCCAAGTGTGTGTTTCTTGTGTGTGCGTGTGAAAGTCTGTGCGAGTAAAATACACAGAGTGAGATTACTGTTGCCAGTAATTTGTTAAAGGACAAACAGAACTGAGAGCGAGGTGAGGCAGAGTATATACAAGTCAACACACTTCACACAGAGATTTTACTTTTAAAATACAGTTACCACACACACACACACACACACACACACACACACACACACACACACACACACACACACACACACACACACACACACACACACATACATCCACGTGTTGATAGTTCTCCAAAAGGAAAAAAACTGGACTGCAGCTTATTATTTAAATGGCAAACAGCACTTGTACAGAATTTGTTTTGCTTACCAGCCTTTTTAACAGCACCTTTATTAGTTAGGATTCACAAGGGTTACACAGCCTGAACATAAAATATTCATATATCCATGATTTCCAAAAGACTAATCCAATCTGCCATTTCTGTGGTGAAGGTTGGATTGTGATATGTAGCAATAACGACCTGGTTAAAGGACGGCTTTTCAAACCATATTCACATGGTCGTATGTGTGCCACTCTTTCATCATACATTGCCATGGTTAAAAAAAGATTTAGATATAAGCTTAGAGGCAAAAACTTGTTTAAAATAAGCTATGCCTTGCATGGTTTTGTCTCTTTTCCTGCAATTACAGGTGAGCTTACAAGCTTATTTCGGTTGTAGCACTCTTTAGGTCAAATCTGCCTCTAGGTTTTACACAATTATGTGTTTTCACGCCCAAGTGCACTGTGTTAAAATTTACGTAAAACAAGTTTTGTCTTTATAAGTATTGCCATAGTTTGAGTAATAACTCAGGAAATTACAGAAAGATCAAAGACCTATTTAAAGGAGTTTAACAAACTACAAAAAAGAAAGACATTTATTCTACTTTACCATCAGCGATGAATATCAGCATTTAAAAAGAACATGTTTTCTACCTAAAGACCAGTTCTTACTTAGGAGTCTTCAAAAATCTGAAGCAAGCAAAGTCAAAACTTGGACAAATGAAAGCTGTATAGCCTAAGAAATTCTACTTAGGCTTTAGGTGAAATATGGATGTATTAACCCTTAACAAAACTCACCCAATCCCAGCAATCTGTCAGTCACAATCTCCCCACCCCCAAAGAGGCAAAATTCTCACATCTGGTGCTACACTCACTTAAAACCAAGAAATATTTAAAAATAGTATTAAATCTGCTGGTTAACATATTATGAGTCTGAAATGTGTTAGTGTCTTGCAGCTCTGATGTGTTTGACAGGATGAAATGACATCCAGATGCCAATGTGCTCATCCTACTTTGCAAAGTCAATGTTTAATCAAAAGACTAAACTCTTCACATCTGGATGGTGGTGGTTGTTCTGGCAATTCGGTGTCCTGGTCAGATCTGGTTAATCAGTTGATACAAACTGCATCTCCGATGTTTATTTGTAGAAATTAGTTGTGTTTGCTCACCTGGAGATCTCCCAGGTCTGAACACACAAGTCAAAACAGATCCAGAACCTCAGACAGGAAGCAGTGTTTGTGTTAAAGCAGACTGCCGAGCTCAGATTGGCTCTGGTTTGTGACTGCAGAGAAAGAGTGTGTGATTTGGTCGACACGGCATTGAGCGTGTTATAAACTGGCCGGCTGATTGAGGCGAACTGTCTTTCATCGGCTGTGGTTGCGATTTTGATCTGTGGGAATAAGGTCTGGGCAACAGCAGCGGTCTGGTGGAGGCAGTGCATTCGTCTTTGATTGGTCAGCTGGCTAAGCAGATGCTGTTTGTGTTTAAATAGTTTGCAGTTGGAAGTTCCTGACTAATGCTGGTCAAACAGGGAACATAAGTTTAACCTCTGGATCTGCAGATGAGTCAGTTCAGTTCAGTTCAGTTCATTTTTATTTCAAACATTTCAAACATGTGCCTTCACAATCATTACAAAATATCATTCCATTATTTGTTTGAAAAGGAGTAGGCTGAAGTATTTACTTATTTGTCCCTACCCCCTCAAGTTTTACCTCTCATCCATTTAATTTTTTTTGTCTTAAATTAAACAAACAACATATGAAACATATGAAGTAAAACAAAACATAACATACATAAATCAAAACAAGAAATTAGCAAGCCCCACCACAGTATAGTTTCTTTCATATGAAAAATACAGAATGTGTATATTTGCAGATACACAAGTTATGGAAAAACAACAAACCAAAACAAAACAAAAAAACAAAAAAACAACCAAAAAAGAACCGCAACACCATTACCAGCAACATTACCATCCTGGGTTAACCCCGTTTTCTTCATTCTTATACTTATTTAAAATTAGGTTTTTATATTTTACTTTAAACTGTTTTATGTTTTGACTGTCTTTTATTTCTTCTGTTAGACTGTTCCATAATTTAACTCCTGCAATTGAGATTGACATAGTTCTTAAAGTTGTTCTAGCACTTTGTATTTTTAAATTCCATTTCCCTCTTAAGTTATACCCACCTTCTCTTTCTATGAACAATTTACAGATTTCTTTGGGAAGCAATTTATTTCTGACTTTATACATTATTTGCGCTGTTTTAAGCTTCACCAAGTCTTGGAATTTAATAGCTTGCATTTTGACAAAGAGTGCATTTGTATGGTCCCTGTACCCTACATTATTTATTAATCTAATGGCCCTTTTCTGTATTATAGTTATTGTTTGTGTGTTACTTTTGCATGTGTTTCCCCAGACCTCTACACAGTAGCTCATATATGGCAGTAGTAAAGCACAGTATAAAATGTGCAGTGCTTTCTGATCCAACATATGCTTTGCTTTTCCCAGGACGGCAATGCCCTGTGCCAATTTCCCCCGAACATAAGTAATGTGTGGCTTCCAACAGAGCTTGTGGTCAATGATCACCCCAAGAAATTTTATTTCATTTACTCTTTCTAAATATACATTGTCAACACATATTTCTACTTCGATGTTTTTCTTTTGGTTTCCAAACAACATAAATTTGGTTTTATCGAGATTCAATGATAATTTATTTATATCAAACCACTTCTTTAATATCGTTAATTCCTGTGTGATCATTTCCAAAACCTGTGGCAACTCCACACTTGAACACAGTATATTTGTGTCATCTGCAAATATTACAAACTTTAAAATCTTCGATACTCTGCAGATATCATTTAAGTACATAATAAACATTTTTGGACCCAGTACTGAACCTTGAGGTACTCCACAAGCTATATCCATCAAATTAGATTTATATTCATTTATTTGTACATATTGTTGCCTATTCCCTACATAGCTTTTTAACCATTCCAAAACCACTTCTTTTTCCCTGAAATCATCAAGTTTACATCTAAATTATTCATTAAAAAAAAAAAATCTAACAATGATTCATCAATCAATAGTATTTTTTTAGTTGAATGGATCAGTTACTTTTAGTCAGGCAGGATTTCTGACTAAAATGTGTAACAAGGACCTGAAAAATTAGCTTGCTTTAGTTCAGAAACTCAGAGAAAATCAAGTTCTGAATTTGCAGATTGTAAAAAAAAAAAAGACATAAGATGTGAATCACAATTCTTGCAGTCCCACGTTCTCCTCACTGCCTGTATATAATAAATTACAGACAGATGTCAAGGTGTATGTTCCCCCCCACCACCACCACCACCACCACCACCACATGCACACGCACAAACACAGACACGCACTGGTCTCTCTTACTCCTTGGCAGGATGTCCATCACTGCAGATAGCAGTGACTCTACTGACTCTGCTTTATCCTTGACTGTTTATAAATCTAAACACATGATAACAGCTGTCTTTGTTTCCTTACATGTGTCGTGGCCATGACTTTAGTAACTGAACAAATTTCCTCTACGTAGGCAAAAAAGAGAGCAACGGAGTAAATAATTTTGTGGTGAGGTAAAAGCTGGTAAATCTGGCAATTTTTAGCCAACAGTCTTTTACGTAACACATCTTTAGGTCTAAACAACAGAACAGATCCAATGCCTATGACTTCCACTTGTGACACTTGTACATAAATAATGTCTTCAATGTGAGCATTTGCAGATTTAAAGATAAGACAAAAGCAATACTGATGATTTTTAAATATTTATTGTTTTCGGTGATTGTTTAGTTAAGGTTTAAGCACAGGTTAGGTTTGGGCCTCGAAAACAATCTGTTCTTCTGTTTATTTTCTGAACTCCACTGAAAAGACCACAAGAACCTAGCCATAAAAATCAGTCATTCTAACCCCCTCCATAGCCAGTATACCCAATATTGTCATGTTTTGGTGAAGTTGTTTTGAGTTTTTGTAGATTATTGCTATCAGGAATTGACTAGGACACAAAAATATCCCAGATGTTTGATCAAAGGTTGTTTTAGTAGAGGAAAATACAAGCTCTACAGGTCTATGTCATGTTATGTCAGCTGGATTCAGCTGGCATGTTTTCAAAGAATTTTGTATCACTCTGTAGCATTCTACACTTTTATTGAAAATCCTGCCTTTGAGGTCTTTTTTACACTTTCACTTTCATATCAATGCTTTACACGACACATACTGCAAGG